AAGCAGTTCCCTCGTTGCAGCTGCTCTCCTCCAGGTTCGGCTAAGTGAGGGCTGAAAGAGGTTGGATGCAATAGCACTACATTTCACTTCCAGTTTCCAGAGCAAAATGCTGGGAATAAGGTACTTTTGCCTCTTCCCGGGTAGCTAGGGGCTGCCAGGCGGCACTGGCGAGAGCAGGCTGGGACCTAGCTCGGCTCTTCGTTTGGGAAGAGCACACCAGCAGCACCCTAGGACACCCCACCGGCCGTTGCCCCCCAACCCTGCACCCTTCCGCGGTCACTGTCGGATGAGAAGGGGAACAGAAAAACAGAGCAAAGAGCAATACTGCCTCAGTGTACTCTCTTCCAGTTTACAGGAATCTGTAGTTCAGGGTTTTTTCCCAGTCAAACCGTCTATTTTTGGGTCTACGTATAGGAAAACAGCACAGAGGGTAACACACCCTGCTGACTTCATTCCCAGCTGTGAATCCCGGCTGCATCCTAACTCCAAGGCAACCCTTTAGCCATCCCCCAACTCCTCCAACCTGGCCCTCCAGCCGCCCTGGAGGCTCCCCGGTCTGCCCCTCTCCCCACGACCACGCAGACACAGCAGCGGGCACGCAGCCAGGCAGCGCGGGACGCCCCACAGCCCTCCGACCCACAGACTGACTGGGGCCAGGGACGCAGATCGCTCCTGGATTTTTCTTCCCTTACTTAAAAACCCTCCATACGCCAGGGAAGCAACGACCACACTGCATCACCTCTGCTCCTCACACTATTTCTTGAGATGCCGTGGGTTGAGGACGGCCCGTTGGCCGGCGGGTTGCAAAGCCCCCAAAGAAGGAAGCCCAGGGTATGTCCGAGCTGTTACCACGTGTCACTGACAACGGGAAAAATCAGTGCGCTTCAGTGCTAGGTCTCCTGTCAGGCTCGTGCTGTGCGCACACGTCACTCCCCTCCAACAACGCATCGTTGGCTGGGGGGGGAAAGAAAAAAAAAATTACTTTTCAAAGTGATTTTAATCTATAAACCATAGCGTGAAACTTGAACCCAACAGACAGCACAACAGCGTGACAGGTAAAACCGAGGGAACTGCTACACCACGATGAAAACATCAAGCGCGTGGGGTTGGGGCAGAGGGGATAGACTAAATCAGATCAAACAGTTCACTTAACTTGCCCTTTTTATTAGGAACTTCTTATTCTTTCAGCTTTTTTGCTATTTAAATTGCTTTTCTGATCACATCAGGAAATAAAAGACATTAGAGCCTTCTTTGTATTGTAAGCATTTCAATAATAGACATATAATAGGCAAAAACCCCAACCAACTTTGAACACCAGTTCTTCCTCTAACACACAGATACAGCGTCCTTCGCTGCTACCAACAGGTAACAAGAGCCTTCCGAACAGTCTAAGGTGTATGAGCAGAGACAAAGCAAAAACTGATCTGGACTTAACGAGTAAGTGCTTAATAAATTAAAAATGCCTTTGCAATTGACGTTTTTTGCTGTTCCCGAAATCTCATGAATGGGCCAATGTTTTGTACCCACACTTCCTCAACAGAGCAAAACCCCAATGCCCTTCCCAGGAGACAACTTCAAATCTTTGTTTTTGTCACATACACAGGGGAATTGTCACCTGTAGGACATAAGAGGTCGTACAAACCCTTCCAGTAAGCAAAGGTGTCATTTTTAAATGCTTACCTCTAGCACATAAAACAACAAATAAAACGTAATATGAATCTTGTAAAGCAGAGCTACAGTAGTACTGCACAGCAGATGAAATTAGAAGCAACTGAAACCATGAAAAAAAGGGAAAATTCTGCTTTTTATCCTCTTTTCATCAACAATTCAACTAACATTTTTACTAAATTTCTAGAATGAAAAAAGCAGCCTAAGATGACACGTACAATAAACAAGACACTCAAAATACCAGGTGCAGAAAATCACTGTGTATCCATTGAATTTGTAAAACGGAGTTTACTTATAAATTACTTGCTTTGAAATCTTCTGATAAACACCATAGAAATACAGTGTTTTTCACTGGGATTTGAGCAAGCTGGATTTTGAATGAAGAAATTAAAAAAAGGCAAACAAGAAGATACCTGTGTTGAAAGGTTAATAATCAAAAGGCTCAGAACAGGAATGAAAACATCAAAAAGAATATAATTTCTTCCCTTCAAATGAAGAAAATGGAAAGAAAACGAAGACAGGGCTTTGAAAAATCTCATTAAATAAACCTTTGCGTGTACAGGAAGACATTTAACTGACAACAGAGAAATTTCTTTCCAGTGCTGTTTCATATTAGGTAACTTGAAAAATAACCAATTTCTTAACCTAAGTCCCTATTAAAATCCATTTAGAAGCTTAAAGGTCTGAAGAAACTGATTTTAAAATATTTTATTGCTTCTAGGTTTCCACATACAGTACATATATAACTGGTGCAACTGGTACAAGATGGGAATAGAAATGAGAAATCATTTCTAGCTCAACTGAATGACATATAAAATAACATAGAGCATCCTCAGGCTTCATCTTAAAGCATAAGTAAATCCTCAGTTTCTCCCTCTCCTCCCTGTCTGTTCCAGAACCCAAAGAAATTAAATATTGGCCCTCATTCCAAATCAACTGGTAATTTCCCTGATGTTCATTACCTAGAAGCTACTTAATCTGTTATTAAAAAAAATCTAATTAATCTAAATGGGAGATGTTCTACCAGAAGGTGACCAGACAACTTTGCTAATATTTCCCTCAATTATCAAAACACTCCAAAAAACAGGGTCCTTCTCTGCCTGCTCCTGGTAGCTGAGGGGGCTACAGAGCTGCTGTTGGAAAGCAGTGGCAGCACTGCACCATCCAGAGAGGGAACGTGCTGCCGCAGCATTCCACATGTGATATGGCTTTGTGAGGAAAACCCAACAGGTAGTCCACAGATTAAGTGGTTTCCTACCAAGTAAAAGTATGAAGTCTTATTTTCATTAACACTATTTGTATAGATCTGTTATTCAGGATGAAAGCCTTATACTCTACCTATGCTAAAACACACACCTGGGGAAGATGACAGGTCATTTTGCATCGTGGTGGTTTACCTTTCCAGACCTGAATTGGTGTGGTCTGTTTTTAGCAGAGGATATATTTCCATTATTAAAGTAATAAATAGTTACCTAAAGCTAACGTACGGGCACGTACTACGTGAGGCAGTTGGCAGTAAGAACTGGCAAATTGGAGCTTTGTAAAATTCTCATTTGAAAAGCTCACAGTAAATTATATTTCAGTGCATGTGACTCCTCTGGTCTTTTTTAACATTTTAAAATTGGTAAGCTTACAGGTGGATGCTACAGACGACTACTACATGCCAAAAGCGTTTACATTTGTTTTCAAAGCAGTTCTCAGTTGTCCTTTAAAACAAACAAACCGAAAACCACTGCTCCGGTAGCTGCTAGCATCAGCTCTCCCGGGGCTCCAGCAGTGAGGGCGCAGTCTTCCCAACACAGCAGCAAACCTGGCAAAGGGCAAAACGCTTCTAACGTGAAGGCATTTCACTCACTCCACTCCCTGCAACCTACCCAGGTGCCCTACTACCGCCCTCGGTTTGCTCCCGAGGACTCCCCTTTCCCGGTCCCCTTCAGCAGCCGTTCTGACATATTTGGCAGTAAAGCCACTGGCGAAGACCACCTCTGGCCTGAGCAGGACCAGGAACAGGACAACACGGAGCACTTCTCTGCTGTTCAATTTGGGGGCTGAATTTAATCAAAACTTCAAAGCACTACCGGTTAAATCTATAGACGGGCACAATCAAATCAGTAGCAGAAAGCGCCGTGCCAAGAGGCCCGGGCGCCACCGGCTTTCACACCAGCAAACCCACAAATATTTACCCAGCACCCCTACAAAGGGCAACCCTGCTACTGGATGCCAACTTTTGACCCTTTGCATCGGCAGCAGTGAAGCCGGTGAATCAATGACAAAACCGCCGAGCCGAGAAGGGGCATCACCGCCCAGCCTCGGCACGAGCATGTGCCCGTCACTGCCGCCCCTTGCCAAATGCCATCCGGCGCGGCCAGCTCACCCGGCTTCTCCACACAGGCACAAGGTATGGATGGTGTACCAGAGTAATTAGCAGAAGCCCGGTTTTGCTGTGCAAGAATGTAACAGAACAGCTTTATCTTACAGGGAAGGGAAACACTTTCGTTAGTAAATGCTTCAAGCAGGCGAGCCTGCAACCTGAACTTGCAGAAACCGCCCGAAACAGTGTCTTCACTGAGGTCATAACGTACACGTTTCTCCGTTACACATCAATCAATAAGTGGACAGTGTATCAAAGCTCAGAAGAGATTCAGTAGTACAGGAAAACAAACTAAAACACTGGCTATTCGCACTATTTAGCAGCCATCTGTAAACACTAAGGGTGCCTAACTAGTGTGCTCTATCAAATTCCAGCAAATTCTTGATAATACTATAATTACTTTGATTGTGCTTTCTTGATTGCTATTAGTGATTTATGGTACAGTCCCTTCATATTTCTAATTAGGACTTAGAACCAAGAACAGACACTGTGCTTCTCTGACACGCAACGGGAGGGGATGTCCCTCAGGCTCCGGAATATTGAAAGAACATTCCCAAAAATCTTTCCCGGGTTTCACACGCAGTTCTGAGCAGCAAGACCCTGGTAAGAGCATCAGCATCATATGGATTAAATTAAGCACACAGTGCAGACAACTAGTAAAGCTAATAACCCACAAAATTTCTTATTGACTCCTGTCAATTTAATTGAAGGTGTTCTATAATAATCTGATATGAATGAGAAGGTTGAAAGGAATCAACCTTGCAGAAAGATATGGCCTGAGGAGTCAACTCCTCACCACCACCCCTCACAGCTACCCAGAGTTAAGGCCACCTGGCTTATACCGCACGCAACTACAATAACCGCAGTCTTCCATACCATCCAGCACCATTCCATAGCTCCGACAAAGAGCAGCTTGACTTCAGCTACAGCAAAAGATGACACAGGGATATACCCACTAGTGCTAAGTTTGCAGAGGGCACACATAAGATAAAAACGCATCTATCTGATTCTTAACAATGACTTCTTTTGGGTGCAAGTTATGTGGCAAGTAATGAGCCAGTGACATCTCCCAAGCATCCACAAAGTGCACAGCAATTCCTGAGAACATTTTCCTCATGACAGAATCAAGCTGAAAGGAATACCAGTCACTATTGAAGAGGCTCACTTCAGGCCCAAGCTCCTGAACGTTAGCGGTTCTGATGACGATTAAAGTCTTGGGGCTGCGATCCAGCAGCTGAATAATTGATCTCCGAATGTTCCTCAGCCGCCGGATATACACTTCCACGGGGAAAGTGCTGAAGTGAGACCATATCGTTATGGCTATTACCGTGTTCCTCCCACCCACTATGCCATTCAGTTCATTGGCAATGTAGCGCAGCTCGCTGCTAAAGACCGTTGAAAAGCGAATGGGTGGCCCGTGACAGCGGAACTTCAGTAGGATATTGTGCTTCAGGTCCACAGACATGAAAGGGCCCACGTTCTTAGGACTCCCCAGGTTAAATTCCACTAGATCTGAAAACCCAAGAGCAAGCATTAGTGAAAGACGGCATCAGAGATTAAAACTATCAACAAGATCCTAGAACCACAGGGCAAAAGTAGCAGTAGATATGGAAATCGAACATAATTCTGAGAACTCTAAAATGAAACATTAGACGGGCGTCACGCAAGTGCTAGCTGCGTATTTCAGAGTGGGATTTATGGGTGTTGAAATCTGCAAGACAGCACGCTTCGGCTCCACAAGGCTGCCAATGCCTTTTCCAGGGTTCCCAAACTATTTTCTTCTCTCTCTCAAAAAAAAGAAATTTTCCAAACAGACCCCTTCCGTCATTATTGCCCTACGAATCCTGTGTCCATGGGAACCTTCTGGCAACTTACGACTCCCTTAAAGATGACTTCAACCTGTAGGTACTAAGGAGTCTCAGTGAGGTTTAATTGCATTAGGGGTAAGGGAGGAATACCTAATTGGCTACTGAAATACTGTTATTTAAATTGAATAAGGGAAATACAAAAAAGGGCCCAAAACCGACCAACATTAACAGAAGTCATTCACTGCTTCATCCCAAAGTCACCTGTGTGGCTGGGATGCTGCAAAGCCTTACGCAACCACCTTAAGTGACCTCCTGCCAGGCCCCCCCCGGGGGGCCACCTTAACTCACAGCCACAGCAGGGGTCCTCACTGGTGAAATGTTTCACCAGGACAACTTGGTGGATACTCTGCCGCCCCATTTCCAAGGCCCACATTTCCAGTGTCTGCTCACACATTCGACTAACTGCCTTTCTGCCATGACTGCTGATGATGTTTTGTTTCTCCTCTTCCTTTGTTTTGTCAGTGTCATTCATTAAGATCAACTCTCTGCCTGAGATGTGAGAAATAAAGCTTTGTAAGAGTTTTTAAGGACAAAACACAAATTAAAAAAATAACCTGGAACAAGCGCTGTCAGATATTCAAACCACTGCCTTATTGTAGAGTCTCCAAACAAGTGGATTACTTTTCCTTGTAAGCACTTGGTTATATCATCTGTGTTGTTAAAATGATGGATCCAGTGTGTTCTGGACATCCACTGGTCTTCATAATAATAACCAGAAGGGGAAACTGCGGGATCTTCAGCTCTGTCCATACTGCTGGAATCTGGAAGAGAAAAATGCATTGAAATTAACGCACAACAAAGCCAGCCTCCGAAACCTTCATGGACATATAGACAGTGACGTATGGACATCTTCCCTAGTTTAAAACAAAATAGTATGATGTACCATGCAGATTAAAAAGCTTAATGCATCTCTCCTGGTTTTGACTGGGATAGAGGTAATTTTCTTCCTGGTAGCCAGTATAGTGCTATGTTTTGGATTTAGGACAAGAATAATGTTGATAACAACATACTGATGTTTTATTTCGTGTAAGTGCTGCTCAGCAGCAAGTCAAGGACTTTTCTGCCTCTTACCCCACCCCATCAGCAAGTGGGCTGGGGTGCACAAGAAGCTGGGAAGAGATACAGCCGGGACAGCTGAGCCCAACTGGCCAAAGTGATATTCCATACCATATGTTTATGTTGTCATGCTCAGCTGGGACAGCCGTGGAGAGTTGGCTGGGCCACGGCAGACACTGCTCAGGAACTGGCTGGGTATTGGTCAGTGGGTAGTGAGCAATTACATCGTTCATCACTTGGTTTGCATATACTTTTATATTTATTATTTTCCCTTCCTTTTCTGTCCTATTAAACTGGTTTTATCTCAACCCACAAGTTATACCTCTTTTCTGATTCTCTCCCCCACTCCCCTGAGGGGAGAGCGAGCGAACGGTTGTGTGGTGTTTAGCTGCCTGCCTGGTTAAACCACAACACATCACATTTCTGTAAGCCCAAGTATTTCACCTCCTGTTTCTACAGCAAAAAACCTGCAACCACTGGCAGCGTTGGCTGAAGAACTGTAGTTAAACTTGGTTTCAATTCAGTGGTATCTCTGGTGACAAAGTAAAATAGAGTAACCATCTGACATCGGGGAAGTGCTCAATTGTGGATGCTTGCAACAGGTAGGGAGGAGCACAGGCAGGAAGATCAGCAAGGTACCTGCTTCTTCCAGTCTGGGCCGAGCCCTGGAACACCCAGCCCCCCACCTCTCAGCTGGCGTGCCCCTCTCCAGCGGTCAGCCTGCCGACCCAGGGCAGCCGTGGCACTGCGGGACCCTGGCCCCGCGGGACCCTGGCCCCAGCACAACAGCCTGACACCGCTCAGGCACCAGCACAGTCCGTCTGTGGAATAACACCCACCCCGACGCGTGCCGGCAGAGCAAAGTCGGAATCATAAGGGCTCCAGAACTAGGACATTCCAGAACGAAAGCTGCAGCCAAGAATTTTATATATGTCCTTTAAATGTATGAATTAGGAGTCTCAAATTCCATGGATTTCCTACTTCGCTGTCTAGCCCCTTCCCCTTCTACTGCCTGGGACAGGCGGCCTGGGTAGGAATTAGACCACAGCAGGGAAGCTCTGCCCTGTGGGACGCTTACTGAACTTGCAGAGGTCAGCCGATGCGCTGCCAGCAAGGGCCAGAGATGACAGGAAGAGAAGCTGCAACCTATGGCTGCAACAGCCAAACACTGCCATACTTGTTGTGGTATCCAGTGTCAGACTAGCGCATCGAGCTTCCATGAGGTCATTACAGGTTCCTCCTTTCCCACAAGTGTATTCAGTACCTAAATCAAACAAGCACGGAACTGTTCCCTGGCACAAACACCAGCTACGTGGAGCAGCCACGTCCAGCTGTTTAAACGCTGACCATGCTGCAGTGGTGTGAAAACTACCTGTTAGCAACCCTGGCCTGTCCTAACTTACAGCTCTTCGAGAAAGCACACATCACCATGGCCAAAATCATGCCATGGACTGTTGTATGTAAAAGTACATGCAGTGGAATTCCAGGGCCCAGAGGCATCCTCTGGTAGATGCTTTGTTGTAAGACGGGTGTAGCCAAATTCTGAACACTCAAAAAAAAACCAAAAACCCCACCCCAGACCATAAGCATCTTTCAACACCCCCTCCTGATAGGCATTTTTGGTCTCACTGTTTCTATACTTTCACTAGTAGATGTTAACCTCCTCAAAACTCACAGGGACACTCATTATTACATTTGTATGACACAAAGACTAACCATGAGTAGCCCAGAAAAAGCCATTAGAAAATGTTATCTTTGGGTGATTCTTTAAATCGGGCAACAGGGACGATGAAGGAAGAGAAAAACACCCCACTAGCGATGTTAACTCGTGCAACAGGTATGAAACAGGAATCCTACAAAGAAAAGGAACAAACCCTTCACATGGTCACGTAATTAAAGACTAATTCATAATGTGGATTCACAACTTCATTTGTTGTAAGTCTTGCTGTAAAAACATTTCCATTTTTTACCTTTTAAATTGATTCTATCGATTTTAAATTGATAGGCTACATATGTATATGTAAAAAAATGGTACTAGAACAAATCTTTGGTGCCTCACACTAAACCTAACACCAGTATTTCAAACCAGTGTATAGTATCATACCAGTTTTGTTCCAGAATTCAGAAAGCCATTACTTCTGGATTTTATAGAAAAGGGTAAAAGCTCCAGTCTGAATAGTTACAAAGCAAGAATAGAAATAAAAGTTTGTATTTCAGCAAAGTAAAGTTTTAAAAATCAACTTGATCTACATTTATCTCCAAACAGAAAGGTATATGCAAAATCAACAAGAGCATAGCAATGAATTTAAATGTGCCATCAACCCTGACAAATCCATGCATCCACAATGATTATATCAATGTATTATATTTATTTATTCAGAAACTGTTGTTCTTAGAAGAAATTTCCCTGAGGAATACTGTGCTATGCCTATCAACCCTTTCTAAGCCAGCATTAACCCTCAGGAAACGCAGGCAGGCTTTGATCATCTGTAACTTCTGAAAGAAGGGCAATACAATCCAAATTCAAATTTGCAGCCGTTTCTGCAAGTAAATATATCAGATTAAAAAAGCAACAGAACCTATGTCATCTAAAGGATATGGAGAGAGTAAGGGGGAAGCACTGCTGGCTCCTTTTAGTGAACTGCAAGATTAAAAGCAAGAAATGCCATTGGCTGTTTTCTGATACGACTTCATTGCTCAGCTCAAGAACTCTACCTTTAAAGGCTCTCCTAAAAAAAAAAATCCGAAAAGCTCTCAATTAAGAAGTAATTATCATTTTATGCAGGCTCTTCAGAGGCAGAAAAAGCATGCACAGGGATATGAATGAGATAAAACCTCTAAGTTCAACTTAGGCCGGACTGTCTCCCTGTTCTGCCTGTAGCCAGGGCAGAGGACAATGCGGTTCTGGTCCACAACTGTAGGTTCTGACATCCTGCAGTAACATTAACTATAGTAATACTGAAATGCAAATTGTCAGAATCTGATAGACAAAGCTCTTAACAAAGAAAGAAATTAAGAAACACCACACAGCTGGTTGTGCTAGATTAACTTGAGAGTTTGGTGGGAAGTTACTGTAGAACATTTTCCATCTCTGAGTAAATGCTAGGAAAAAGACACCATTGGCAAGAGAACAAACTTTTTAAATTTTTTTTGCTAAAAATCCCATTTATGTATGTCATTTTAGACAATTTTATTAGTAGCAGTTAACTTCTATTACAGTGACACCCAAAAGCCTTCATCTTCTCAATATAAATTTAAAAGTTAATTTCTATTCCATGCTAAGAAAACAAACAAATCAATCATTGCCTCATGCCTGTTGCTCTTTTTATAAATTTAATTATGAATTACAAACAAGAATCTTATAAAGTTCACTTTACCTGTAAATGCCTTGGGCTTTACAATCACTGAATCGGGTCCACTGGAGAGTATCGGCCTTTTGATATTCACGTCACTTGAACAAAAAATAACATTTGTAAAATTTACTGTAAAATTCAAAGGGAATATTCATCTCATTTTTTCTTAATCCACTCCAAGTAAGTACATACAACTCACACTAAGAATTTTTTTTACTTTAAGTTCACTCTATTTCCTATACCTGAATTCCTTCTGTATTTGTTTCCTCGGGGTCACTATCACGATTCTGAATCGGAATTCAAAATTTCATAGCACTGGGACACAAACCTTGTGCACACCTCGACAAAGCAATCGAGCTATCAGAGATCTGCAAGAAGCCCTGGGGGGATTGACCACACCGATGGGAAGTTCCCAGCTTGCGATCTTCTGCTGGGGTAGTCATAGCTTCTGGCCCCCATAATCCCACGACCACCACCTGCAGTTCTAGCTCTAGACTAGGCTGGTAGCGGCGTGACCTGACGCTGGGGGAGACGGAGGTACTAGCGAGTGTCCAACCAACCCCAGAGATCTCCAGCAATAAGGCCTTCCAGTCGGACAGCAATTCGCTGCACACAAACAACGCTCACCTGTATGCAGCAGCAGTTCGCTCATGTTACGTGCGCTATGAAATGTATTTTTTTTTAAATGTTGAAGGCATTTTAAAAAATAATTTTTTTTTTTATTTAGAAAAAATGATGACAGAAGAAAAAGATGACTATGAAACTAATGCAGTTGGACACTTGAGATCATTTCCACTTGCACAGACATTGCTCAGCGGTTTGTTCTACCGGGTGTTTTCTTCATGACTGACTGAAAATTGTTCCTAACCTTTGAAAGTCGTACTGAGCAAGGAGGAACGTGTTGCCTTGCAAGCAAGATGGCTTTCACAGAGGATAAAAGCAATTGGTATTTTGTGTAAAAGTAAGCCTAAAACATGGACCTTTTTTTTTTTTAGGTAGTTCAGACTTGGCCCAAAAAAGTCCCAAAGCATTTTATTGGCATTGCAAGCGTAGGTGTGGAAACAAAAAGTAAGGAAACAGTCCCCCAAATCACGGCCGGATTTAGACAGCATGCTCTTGAAATTCCGCAGGTGCACCAGGGCTGAATTCAAAGCACAGAAAGAGAACGGCACTCCAGGTTTCTTCAGTTTAAGATTACTGTGTTTTTGCACAGCTGAATGGAGGGGGAAGAGAATATTCAACAAACTCACATCAAACACCTGCTCCTGCAGATACACACCTCCTCTAAGGCAACTGTCCTATTTCACCAATAACCTAGAGTTTGTCTTTAAAAAGAAATTACTTGACTGAGTATATATACAGCAACATACATACCTTTGGAAAAAGAGGCTTTCCTCTTGTGTGAGAAGACCTTTCTGATACCCACCCTTGGCATGGCTGATTCGGCTGGCACAGGACAGTTTTCGAGGCTTGTAGCAGAACCATGGCTCACCTGTGTAGAGATCTGTGAAGTTACAGATGGGGAGATCTCCAGGCAAGCAGACATTGCACTCAGTGGTTTCTGAGTACCTCCCTGACTTGAAGGAGCTTTTGAAATAGACCCTGTCTGGCCTTTCTTCTCGTAAACGCTGGAGGACTTGGACTGCTTCACTCGGATGGACGAGGGACACAGACACTTTGACCTCTCCTGGCCAAAGCAAGGTAAAGAAGACTTTGTAAAGGCCATTACGGCAATCTACAATCCTTCCTGTGGCTCCAGCTTTCAGCAGAGGAGAGTGAATTCGTGCCTGCAGATAGTCTCCACCATACTGCTTGGGTTTTCCTTGGAAATCCTTCACGCGGACAAGCACCTCTAACTGATCACCCACCCTGAGGAACCCGCTGGGTTTCACAATCACAAAGTCGCTACGTGCAGGATCGGTGCTTTGTACAAAGGCAATTTTGCCATCAGGGGGTTTTGGCCACTGTATTGCGGCAAGCAGCGATTCCTGTTCCGCTTGGTCTCTTTTGGACAAAGCCTGTTGCTTATAAGCACAGTAAGGCTTCCTGGTAGTTTTGGTGGTCTGTGACAGAGAACGCTGGACATTGTTTTCTGTTATCCAACTGGATCCCGAAAGTGTGTCATCATCCATGTGCTGCGGAGGGAAAAGATCTCCTGAAACTGCGCCATTGAATGAAACACTACGACTAAGGGGTGCTTTGCCAGGAGAGGTCCAGGGAACTGGGCTGTGCTTTACAGAGCTCCGAGGCTGACCAAACGAAGCAACTTTACCAGAAGACACACACCTACCACGTCGACCATGGGCTTTCTAAAGAAACAGGCGGGCAACCTGGGGTTACCCTGCTCTAGCAAAGAGGCTTTTATAAATCAGGCCAATCATTTTCTGTGGCAGAGTTTTGGCTATGGGTGTATTCCGCAAATAACAGCAATGTGAAAAGCATTACAAAAGGTCGCGTGGTTCAGTAGTAAATTGTAACTCGCCTTTACTTTTCCTACTGGAGTAAGAACTTTTTGAGCACAACGAGGTCTAACAGCTGCCCAGCATAAGGGACAGTGTTGCTCTGAGACGTCACGCTGCAGGTGTACCTGATGCACCCCCTGCACGTGCCTTCTAGAGAAGTCAGCCGCACCTAGCAGATGCGGTCATCTCTCTGGTCACACTCTCATGGCTCCTTAGCTAATTATCTGAAATGTGGGTTTCCCTGTAACGTACAGATTGAAAGAAAAGAAAGGGGTGCTTCAGGGGCAATGAATTCATGAAGTAGCGGGCAAGTAAAATAGTCTAGGACAAGCTAGGACTGAACAGGGGAAAAAACCCCACCTATTTGTGTATTTTTAAGATTTAAAAGTCTACATACAGCTTCTTCTAGAGCCAAATGACACACAGCCAAAGCACCCCCTAATCCACACAAGAGTTTAAACATTAGAATAGTTAAATACAATGCTAGACTAAGAGAGGGGGCTTCTGTGGTGATAGGAGATCACTGTCCAAAACTGTATTTTTATGCAGATGACTGCAGAGATAGCATCTTCCTCATCACATTGCACAGTTTCACAGGTTTGCATTAGGGAAACAAAAAATAGCAGAGTCTAAGACTCCGGAGCTACCTGTGAGATTCCTCATCAGCAAATCCAAACTTATACCTCAAATATGCGCAAAATCAGCAGTTAACGGGTCCTTCATTGTGAGGTAGGTATAAGAGAACTTACCCATACTCGCGTTTCATAGCTAAACAAAACGCATCAAATCGTTTCTCAAGCAAGGCTTAAAACGATGCAACATACCATCCACGTGGCATCAGAGAATACGCTTCTTCAGACTTGAAAGACTGCCAAGAAATTAAAACTATGCTATTTGAAATTTCTTAAAAGCTCATTGCACTTACCAATATCCAAGTGTTTTCCGTTCACTTCCCTTATAATTACCTGCTCAGCAATGTACTATCATTCCTAGCACTCACATTAAAGCCTTATTTGTTATAAACCTTCCTTAGTCTAGCACTCACATTAAAGCCTTATTTACTGTTATAAACCTTCCTTAGCCCATTGAAATATCACCTAGACTTCACACACATACCAAGTAGTTTCCCACCCGCTACGTTTTACTTGAATTTGGCAGTATATTAAGGTCATTTGAACAGAGATTCAATATACTTTTTTAGGAGAAAGGTAAACCTAAAAAGCAATGGAAGCCTGTTACATAAGCTTTTTTAGGAGAAAGGTAAACCTAACAAGCAATGGAAGCCTGTTACATAAGTTGGTTTTGATCAGCTTAAGAGGATAATGAGCACACTGGGATGTAGGATGGATACACAGAATCTTCTCGGATACGCATGTTAACTGTACAATCTGAAAATGTAAATTTGTACATTTTAGCTATAAGCTGTACATTGTCAGGTATCCAGATGTAAAATATACCCACAATAGAAGCTTTTGCTTCCGTATTAGATCTGCATGCAAGGTTTTGGCAGCAGGGTGGGGGGCTGCTACCGGGGTGGCTTCTGTGAGGAGCTGCTAGAAGCCTCCCCTTATGTCCAAGGGAGCCCATGACAGCTGGCTCCAAGAGGGACCCACCACAGGGACATTAGTGATGGCAGTAGCACCTCTGCGGCAACATAGTTAAAAAGGGAGAAAAACCCCATACTTGGGCATTTGCAGCCAGAGAGAGGAATGAGAGAAAAACATCCTTACAGACAACCAGGTCAGTGGAGAAGGAGGGAGGAGGTGCCCGGAGCAGAGGTTCCTGTGCAGCCCATGGGGAGAGGGCAGGCTGTGCCCCTGCAGCCATGGAGGGTGACGGCAGGAGTAAAGACCCCCCTGCAGCCCAGGGAGGACCCCACGCCAGAGCAGGCGACTGCACCTGAAGAGTCCATGACTCTGTGGTAAGCCCATGCTGGAGCAGTCTTCCAAAGGTCTGTAACCCATGGAAAGGACCCTTGCCAGACCACGCTGAGAAGGGACAGAGCGTGAGGATCCTCCCCGGAGGAAGAAGAAGCAGCAGAGACAGAGTGTGATGGACTGACCACAACCCCCATTCCCCGTCCCCCTGCGCTGCTGGAGGGGACAAAGTAGAGAAATGGGGAGCAAAGCTGAGGCTGGGAAGAAGGGAGGGGTGGGGGGAAGGTGTTTTAAGATTTGTCTTTTCTCTCTCTCATTACCCTACTCTGATTTGATTGGTAGTAAATACAACTAATTTTCCCAAGCTGAGTCTGTTTTGCCCGTGACAGTAATTGCTGAGTGATCTCCCTCTGCCCTTACCTCAATCCAGGAGCCTTTCCTTACATCTCCTCTCCCCTGCCCAGCAGAGGAGGACAGTGACAGAGCACCTTTGGTGGGCACCCAGCCTCCAGCCAGCGTCAACCTACCACAGCTTCTGTTTTACATTTCCACCCAGTATTTAACAAGTGTTCCCTGAGGGCCACCTGAGGTAGCTCGTAATGATTTCTCTTTTGCACCACAGCGGTCAAAAATATATCGCTGCACATTACTTTTATTAACCCAGTACATTTCAGGCAAAGCTGAGAATGAATCTCAAGAAGAGTTCTACTTTAAATCTTGCCTACAGGCATTCCAGAAATAAGCCAAGTTTCTATTTTTTGATACCTTCACAACTTCTGCCTTTCACTTGCTCATGCACACACATAACAGAAAAAATTGCATGGAAACATTTTTAAAAGTTAGCTATGTATTTTGATGTATCCAACCAGCTGGTAACCATGTCTCAGTCAGCAAAAATACGTAAGCATTTGCCTAAGGTGGGGTGGAGAGGGAGAATGTGTGTGTTTGATTAAATCCTGTGTTCAGTGTAAGCTCCTGAGAGAAAATTTCTGTTTCAGTTGGTTCTTCAGTGGTTGGGGCTTCAAGCGGTAAGGGGCATGGAAAAAAAAATCCTTTCCAATTAAAAAAGAGGGATGGCTATCTAAGAAGGTCTTAAAAACAGACCTATCACTATTCTTAAACTTCCATACATTTTTTGAGGGTTTTTAACCCAGTGTTCCTGTCAGAGGAGTAGATGATGTTGTTTATGGCCTAGCTACCCCTTTGTTTGGGTTTGGTTGGTTGTTTTTTTTAAGTTTGGGGAGAAGGGGGTACTGTTGGTTTTTTGTTTGGGCTTTTTTTATTATTTTTATTTGCTGCATTCTGAAGTTAACCAGATGCCAAATGTGGTAACAAAGTAATTGAATGGATGTCTGCCAACTAACGCAGGCAGGACAGGATGGATCCCTTGTCAATTAAGCACAAACAAATCCACAACTATCCCTGGTTCGTGAACCATATCATAAGAAGGAAAAAGGAAGCTGTGTTTTCAGGAGAACTAATGAAAGTTACAGTTCAACTACTCAGCTTCTAGCATTCTCACTGGCAACTAAGCAAAACCTATAAATAACATTAGGCCAACACAGGCAATCATGCTTTCAAAGATAACACAGAAGTGTCAGAGGGCACTCGGTTAGACCTGCAGTGAACACTTGCCCTCAGTTAAATGCAATAAGAAGCTGACAGTAAACGCTGAGTATTTCACTTGCTCCTGAAAGGGAGGAACTCCACCTCAAAACCCAACATCCTCCACCAGCTGTAACTCTCAGCTTGGCCTAGTACACACAAAACAATTGCTGTAAACCCATGTATGTCACTAAGATTAGAGCATGATACATGACAGCAGATTCCGAGATGATAGGCATGGGGGGTGGGGAGGGACGTTCCAGTTCACCCTACAGAGAGTCTTAACGTACGCAGCAGGAAAAATTTTAAACCAAACAAATGCCAATTATGAAAAGGTCAGTCACCTTATTTTCAGTAATTTTACACTCCAGGTACTTTATTCCTATTTGTTGTCTAAGACAGACATGAAATCAGTCAGATCTTATGTTCAGTTCAGACATGAACTGATCCTTTACTGATCACTGAGCCTTTACTGTCTCACAGCACTGAGAGGGTGCTAAGTTCCTCCTAATGTCAAAGCCAATCTTAAAAAACCATCACCTGACAAATATTCCAGCAACGATGCAAATACAGCACAGTTATCTTAGCAAGAGTAAACAACTTTGTTACACAGCTCTTTGCTCAGTTTCAGCTGTTTGAGTCCACACACCATTCCTTCAGCCTTGCAAGAAGCTTCCCCTCTCCCCATACACTCTCTTTCCTAAGTGCTTTTAAATAAAGGAATGCTCACAACCAGTCCTGAAGTGGTTCTGTCATTCTAAAGGCAATTGGTACAGCTACACAACCTCTCCTCTATCTTATAGGCATGATGTTGCTCCTTGGCAACAACCTGATAATCCACGGAAAAATACTGAACATTATCTGTCTGGCTGTGTTTGCAAAGAAATATATAATAAAATAAAAATACATGTCTTCTAGTACTATAATGCAGTGGTCAGCTGTGGACCTCAAGAGCAGAGTTAGTCCACACTAAGAAGCAGATTAAACAATAAGCAGGCTATCAAATATTTTGTGGACAGCTTGTGGTTTGGGGTTTTTTAAAACACAAAGTGAAAAAAGTAAACTTCTGACATGGGTAGGGCTGTTGAAAGGTACCGTTAGTAGCTTAAGAATTCAAGAGGGAAGATTCCAACATGAAAAAGTACAAAATCTAAAGAGAAAAAACAGGGAGGCTAGCTGGGGCCTGGCTGACAATTACCTTAGCTCTTTAGCTTCAGCCAGCTAGATCAGCTGACGCAGGGGTGAGAAGCATGGCTGATGTTTGCAAACACATTTTCAACAGTAACCAACAGCCCCCGTTCCACAGCCTGAACGGTTTTGGTTACTGATATTCCATGAAAGCTTTCTAAGACTTTTTCTGGCTTCAAACCTCAGCTGAAAAGAATCAGCACAGATCCCTGTAGTAGACTGGCTGGGAAGCTGTGCCAAAGGCAAATACCAGAGCCGGTTCGTTCAGGAAAAGCCAAGACAACGAAAGGGGTTAGAGTTGTGTGTTAGGGCATAAAGATTTACCAACAACACAATACTTAACTGAGTTTGGAATATCAGATACGCATAGGTCAACAAAGCCCCACAGATGCTTATTGTGAACAGTGGCAATAAAAGGCAGAGAGTGAACACCCATACAGCATTTTGCATTTCATTCTCAAAGCTCTGCCACAGCCCATTTCTCTAAGAAAGGGAATTTAAAAAAAGAAAGAAAATAGTCTCAGATTCAAAATACTGAAACTCTTCTTCGTGCAACATCCTAGGTCAAAAAAACGCAGAAAGAAACGACAAAAGAAAAGCTACCTTCTATGTTACACAAAAAAGATCGTGGTAACGCAAACCAAAGGTCCATCAAACACAACATTTTGCTTCCCAGTAGTTTCCAGCAGCAGGTGTGTGGAGAAAATACAGGACAAACAGGTTGTGATACTTCCTCCTTAAGTTTCAATCCAGTTACTAGCATTTTACGGTTTAGAGACTTCTTAAACATTAGGGTCAACATCTTAAATATTTACTATCCCCTAATGGATTTTTCCCCTACGAATTCATCCAGACTTTTGGAATACATTCTTTTAGCAGCTACACAGTCTTACTGCAAGGACTTCTGCAGCTTTGCTGATGTCCATAAAAAAACCATCCCTGCTTCCTCTAAGTAAAACCTGCAGACGCCAAATTCAATGTCCCCACTAGTACTGGAATAGATAAAACACATTTACTCTTTAGTTATTGATCCTGTGCCACTCGTGATTTTAGACCTAACAAACATCCTCCTTGTCCTTATCTGAACCTCTTCCCACTCAAATATATCTTTTTGGGGGTGAGAGGGGATTATACAGACCCTCTTTTGGATCATTTTGTTTGGGCATCACTGGCCAGGAGGGAACAAAAAAGAGTCTGCAAGCAGGATACACACAACTCAAAGGCACAAAGAAATTACTGATTGGCTGAAAGGTACCTGGAATGTAACGAGGTTTTAGGCTAAGCATCATTATGCTCATCCACCAAATAAATGTCTCAGTGGATAGTCTGGCCAAGCAGGCAGCCGACAGGCAGGATCAGCCACCAAGGCTCCCTGGGACGTGGTTTTACCTGTCTTGACTTCAGTCTGAGGTTACTGACCAACACAGTTTGAAAGTACCTCTGCACTAAAGAGATAAGAAAAATGAAGAAATATGCAAGTCAGACATAGCAGAGGGGAAAAGGCAAAGAACAGTTCCATCAGCAGAGGCTGGAAATCAGCTGACTAGATAACAGCTCTGCAGAAAAAGACCTAGGGATTCCGGCGGGCACCAAACCCACCACGTGTCAAGGGCAGAGCCTTGTAGCAATGAACGAACGAGAGCATAACCAGTGAACTGAGCAGAGTGATAATTCCCCTCAACTTGACCTTGGTGAAGCCGCCTCTAGAACACTGTGTCTGCTTTTTGAATACCCAGTACTAAACTGGAGAGACCAGCTCAGGACCCCTGAGATGATTAGGGGACTGGAGTACATGACAGAAAGGAGACACTGAGGGAACAAGACTTTTTTTCTTTCTAAAGTCTGGAGAAGACCCAGAGGGGATCCAACCACAGTCTTTCACTATCTAAAGGGAAGTTAGAGAGGAAAATAGAGGCAGAAGTACACACCAAAAGGACAAGTGGCAACTTCCACCTGCACATCTAAGAGAAACGTGCTTCCCTACAAGAGGGATGCAGCACTGCAACAGGCTGCCCAGGCAGGCTGTGAAACCTGACGTCCTTGAAGACTGTCAAAACTCTACAATACCCTGTGCAATTCAAGCTAACTTTAAGGTTAGCCCTTTGAGAAGGATGTTGGAAAAACACCCCCAGACATCCCTTCCAGTCTGACTTTTCTGTGATTCCAAGTTGCAGCTAAACGCTGTCAGTCACAATTCTAACCTTACACTCAAGGAAGAATAACGTTGCTCAAGCCCTCATGGAGAAGAAAGGCTCCACTTACCTCCAACTGAAAAAAATTATGGACCAGCACCACAATTGCCAGCACTGCCATAAGCAGGCAGAAGATCTGCAATCTGCGCGAGTCGCGCCACATTGTCCATTCATGTCTTTCCCTCCCATGTTAGACGCTGCCATGACTTCCATTCGCCACAGACATCAGTGTCATTTCGCCTCAGTGGTGCGCAAGAGGATTCAGGTGGCTTCCACTTCATTCCTGCAAACGTATTTACAAAACCTGTATTAAGCCCCCCAAAGGATTATCAGAAGTCAAGTTTAACGCTGAAAGCATGTAAATGGCACAGCGACAACTGGTACAAGGGAACTGTTCAGACAGATCTTTGTGGCATTAATCTGAACAGTACTATCTGTTACTTAATTCTCTTGGGTGTGTTAAGGCAAAACCTTGTCAAAGTCAGTTTCACCTAGTTTTGATACAAAAAAAAAAAGGGGCAAAAGAAGAGTGCAAGATTTCTTTCTGGGAACCAAAGATCCAACCACCACCCTATTTATCCATCAGGCCACACTGTCACCATCCAGCAATCACGAGCCCAAAACTTCTAGCAGAAACTTGTGGTTTTAGACATCTCCCTACTTACTTGATCAGTGATTCCTGTAAGTTGTTAAAGACTGGAGCAAGCCTGGATAGCAAGACGAAAGATACTGTTGTCTCCAGTTTTCTGCTGGGGAAAGGGGAAAAAAATAGCAGTAACTGCTATCAGTTAAACAGAAGATATCTAACAGGGTTGAACGAATTAAAATTTAACTTCTAATATCTTCTGTACCATTAGAGTACATCCTTCCTGTTGTTCCATTTTTTCATCATTCCTTTTACATCAAGTGCTCTTACACAGCTCCAACGGTGATTAAAAGTAAACTTTTGGATGCAAGGTGTTGGGGTTTGGTTTTGTTGGCTGTGATTTTTTTAAAAATAAAACATAATTCTAGTCATGTTTTTAATAAAATGTAACTTTCATAAAATCTATTGTTTCTCTGAGGTTGCATGATAGCTGATCTGTTACAAAAATTACAGACTTCACCACTGATAAACAGTTCTCACAGCTTAACGTTTGTTCAGTTCGGCTCTTGCATCTTCCTTCCCTTTTAGGGGGACAATTTTGAGGCAGTCACTTTGCAAGCAATAAGGGTACGGTTCTTGCAGAAGGGGAAGCTTTAAACTTGGCAACAGAAAACAGATGGCAAGGAGAGACAGCCAAAAGACACCAGGCTCCTCAACCCTCCTCAAAGCAGCGTTGCTCACACAACCATCCTCCGAGTGCGACAACATCAGCATCGAATGGTTGGATATACTATTTGTGGAAGGTTATACAGAGTTTAACTGAAAAGTCAGGCTATTTATTAAGACTATATGAAGAACGTGGTGTAAATTTAAACTGAAGACGATACATTAAATATAAAATCAGCGAACTAAGCGTTCATTAAATGCACACAGGCTACAAAACTGAAATATATTACTGGTATAATCAGAACAGTCTCAAAATAGACGGCACATGAAATTGCTTTACAAGGATTACAGGGATTATAACTTCAAACGCTTTGCTGAGAATTACAGAGATTGCATTTCCGACTGATGAACAAGCACTGAAAGAGCAAGACGTCCATTAAAGTCAAAAGAAAAAAAAAAATCAAACTGACAAAATACAAACCCACAGCTTTGCTGGCACAGCTCTGCACTAATATAAATTTGTATAAAACATCAACTCCAGGTCTAAGCAATAACTGATAATGAATATACCTAAATACATTAAAATGCTAATTTAAGGTTATACGTGACCGTTTGAAGAACACGAACACGTTAGAAAAAAGGGAATTGCCAATTTTGTTGCTGAGAATTTTCTTCAAATCACTGAAAGGCATGAGACACTGAAAATTAACTGAACGTAATTTCCTACCCCTAAAAAGGCCGCAGAGGCTAGACCCATGTATTTTTGTTCAAAAGTTTTTGTTCAAATTTTTCTGTATTTCTGTAAACATGACATATTCTAAAACACTCAAACACGCAGGTTTAGAGCTTTCTTTATCCTAAAGGCCTTAACATACTTCCAGCTTCATCATCCCTGAATAATTGATCTAGTTCATTTTTTACATAACGGAAGCACATAAGTACACCACAAAACCCTTAAATTCTTACCCTATTCTTAGAGCATCCTCTGAAGCCATCCATGCAGAAGGCTGGAACTAACCTTGGAAAGAATACAGGAAAAACAAATAAACAAACCAAAACAACCCATGTATATCTATACACGCACAAATATTCAGGAAGGTCTCCCACAACTGGCAGCTTGCTTGCAGTGACACCAAATAACATGGCAGCTAAGACTTCCCAACTGTAAAATTAGTCTCCTGATCCTAGAATAATCCAGGGACTTTTTTTAAAGGTATTTTAATTCTTTTTTTCCACTTCAGTCCTATCCCCTCTGAATTCTCTGTAATGTACTGTTGAGCGATGCTGCTCTCAGCCTGGTCCGGCTCACCTCACACCCCATTCTGCCCAAGTGTAAAACCCCAAACCAGCCCAGTGGCATTTTTACCAACAGTCTTCAGGTCAGTCGCCTCCTGCTCAGCTACAGGAGGGCGGTTTTTCTCCCCAGATCGCTGAACAGTGCCAGCTGCCAGCACTTCTCCAAGCCCGCCGCGCTG